CTCTTTCTTGGTCTCTGCCTTCCTCTGAAGAGAGAAAAAGGACTAAATGGTGTTGGGGGGGGCGGGGTGACTGTCCCAGGGGCATGTGCATTGCCGAGGTACTGCCCTCCCTGTCCCCCTGAGCATTGTTCTGCCCCGGGTATGGAATGCAGATGCCAGGTGAGGTGAATCTGCAGTGACAGCGAGCACTGTGCGCTCGGCAGCATGGCGTCTCCTCCGTGCCAGCTCCGGAGCTTTGGCATCCCCTCTCTTCCTATATTTCTGTGCCAGGAAAAAACAGCCCACCACCTGAACAGCAGAGGAAAGAATACCCAGAGCTCAGGCTCCCGGCACTGCCAGTGAGACAGCTTGCGCCCCACAGGGGGCCGGGAGGGGACTTGGAGATCACTTGGGGATTGCAGGAAAGAACATTCTCTAGGCACTTGTGCAGCACTGGCCAAGCACAGCCCCAGTGCCCACCAGCACCCCGCAGAGCCCTGGTCCTGCCATTTCAAAGACCCAGAGCCCCTTTCCATAAAGCTAAGAAAAATCTGGCCTAGCTCGTGGGGGCTTGCCTGTCAAGACCAGAGAAAAGTGAATAAACAGAGTGGCTTTTAGTCTGCAATTCCTGGGTTGAAGCCCCTGGCTTCACCCCACTGGGTTTAAACCGGGCTCAGCCAGGATTTCCCTCATGATAAGGCAGACGTCGGAACCCAGGAAGCCTGAGCAGGGGCCTGTGAACCCAGCTGCAGGCGTTGTCCAGGTGGGGGAAGTGCCTTCGTCAGGAGGGGTGTCTGCAGGGGAAGGTGCCATCCTCGTGGCCTGATGCTCCCCAGCACCATCAGCAGAGATGTGCCCATTTTGGTAATGGTTGCACGAGCTAAACTCACACATGGTATGACCCTGTAAAGGAGCAGCTGTCACTGTCACCATAATCAATGTTAGAACAATATTATCCAGTTTCGAAACCCTGCACCTGACCGCACTTACTTTTGTGTCCCCCAGCCCCAGAAAAACCTTCAGTCTTTCAGTTTTGGGAAATTTGCCTATTCTGGACATTTTAGGAAAGTAGAAAATATTCCAATTTTGCACCTAAATTTAAAGGTCCCCAGGGGAGCCCCCATAAGCAATACTCCATTTTTTTCTAATGAGGACTTGTTGATAGAAGGAATGGCCTTTCACTACCGTCCCCTAAAGATGAACTTGGAATGGGAATGTTAGAGGTCATTCATATATTTCAGTACGTTTGACCAAGAATTCCTTAGTGATTTCATTCTTGGATGTTACTGCAAAGTTAGAGTGCTTTTAAAACTTCAGCTTACTCTTCTTTCATTTTCTAGGTATCAGAAGGGCAGGAAATTTGTGTGATTGAAGCCATGAAAATGCAGAACAGTATGGCGGCCGGGAAGACTGGCAAGGTATGTTCCCACCAGTCCACACCAGCCTTATGACCAGAGGAGAACTTCCACCTTTGCGTCATGGATGGTTTGCCCCGCTAGGGACTGCAGAGGTGATCTTTCTCTTCCCTGGGGAAGATGTTAAGATCCAGGAGCTCTTTGCTCTGCATTGATGCATCCCTGTCTCACAGAGTGGGTTCCAGAAAGTCTGGAAGTCTGTATTATGTTCAGATAGTTAAAGAACAATTGTTCTTCACCTTAATGTCTTTCAAATTAAGGGGTCTTTAATTTTTAATGTTTACATCTGTCTTGGAGGCAGTTAGTTATCTGAGACTTAGGTGACACAGCAGGAAACGGTTTTACAGATTGCAAAAATTAATGTAACTCTTCAAGATGATTTTTCCATGAAGAGAACAATTCAGTTGTAGATCATGAGGATCCGCTGCCCTTGCACACACGTGGACCTTAATGATTCAGGGAGAAAAGGAGGTGTGACAGTACTGAAATTTGTTAAGAGTGAAACTTTTTGAGTGTATTTTTTCTTTGAGGAAAACAAAAAGCCTGTGAAGCAATCATTTCACTTTCTTCCCAGGACTCAGGGGATGCCATTAATGGAAAATGACCCTTTTCTGAAGGGTGTCTGGTTTGGTAGTGTCTGCACAGCGGAGCATGATCGGTGTGAGAACAGCAGCAAAGGCTGGCTGTGGCCTGCACTGTGGCCACACCGTGGGGACTTTGGGTGTAAAGAGAGATCCATCAGTTCACGACCAGGTTTACATCAGAGAGATACACAGCCTCTGTCTGTCACTCCAGAAGTCAAAGGGACTGATTCTCAGAGAAGGACAAGGGGATCCCTGTAGCTCCCAGCAGGTAGAGCAGAGGTCCCCATGCACACTGGCCAGCCCTGAGCTGGCTGCCAGGCTGGAGCAGGTACAGGTGGCCCCACCTTGTCAGGGAGGTTTGGCAGAGTAGGAGGGCATGATTTGTGGTGTTTCAGGAATCCTTTCAAAATTTTGATGACATTTTAAAAAGTGGACAAGAAAATGTAGGTTTCTGTTCACATAAAAACTATTCTTTGGGCTTATTTAACATTTCATCTGTGATGATTTGTGGGGGATCAAGAAGAGTGTCAGCTGCAGGCTGAGGGTCCCCATGTGGCTGGGCTGAGCGTGGCCTCGCTTCCTGCAGCAGTGTGAAGCCCCATTGCATGTCTTTGGATTTCCTCATGGAGCAGTCTCAAAGGAGGCAGAACCCTTTGCCCTCAGCAGCCCAGAGCTGCTTCTCAGGGGCTGCTGGGTGTGAGCGAATTCTGTGCTTTGGCCCATCCCCTGCAAGCTGGAGTCCCTCTGCTCATTCCACGTACCACCCCCCCTCCCCTGGGCCGAGAGAGCCATATTTCCTCCTAGAGAAAAGGTTCACAGTGGACAGGGTCTCTAGTGACTGTAAAACATCACGACACATAATCAGAGGAGACATCAGGATTGTCATTTAGGCACTTCAGTCCAAATGGCATCTGCTGAGAGGGCTTTGGAATATTCCTGCACGGGTTCACATCCTTCTTAAAAACTCAGCTCTAGTTTGAGATAAAACAGCCTGGCTGGACTCTCACCACGAATGGCGGGGACAGCGGCCAGCGCACCACCCCAGACGTCACTGGCATTCTGGGTGTCTGCCTACGGCCGGTGCTGCCAGTCAGCACAAACCCACGTGCACTTTCACACCCAAGTGGCTGCCTCCAGGGAGGCACGGGACCGTCTCCACACACTCTGGCCCCTCCCTGCTCATTTTAAATCTGAACACAGATTTGGCGAGCACAACTTGATGACACTGAGGAGAAACGGGCAGAATGAGAGGGCATAGTCCCACGTTCCATCATGCCACCAAGGGCAGGCCTCGAGGCTCCTGAAGGTCGCATTTCTCGTCACATGGGGCGCTGAGATTGGCTGGGGAGCTTCTCCTTTGCATCAGCATCTATTTGGACTGTGTGTGTGTGTGTGTGTGTGTACACATATAGACGTTCTTTGCACCTCTTCTGTCCTTGTCAGCCCAGAGGGAGAGGTGAGGGACATCCTAAGGATCTTCAGGATGCCCCCAGGCCAGAGCTCCCTGGCCCAAAAGTCAGTTCCCTCCAGAGAAGGAGTAGGGGGTTGCTGCCTTCGGACTGGAGCTTATGACTCTTCTCCCCCCATTTTTTGAATTCCAGGTGAAGTTGGTGCACTGTAAAGCTGGAGACACAGTCGGAGAAGGGGATCTGCTCGTGGAGCTGGAATGAAGTATTTATAGCCTTTCAGGCATCACCCGACTTAGCCATTTGTATTATTCTCTCACACTCGATTTCGTCAAGTGTTTCACGGGAACACTTCTGTGCAGCCGGATCTACATCTCGTATTTATTCCACAGAAGAGTCAAAACCAACATTCTGCCAAAAAAATCACCAATGGAAATTTGTATTGATATAAACAATTATACATATGATTTGTACTTCTGTGAGATTTCCTAGTGTCAAAATTAAATCAATAAAACGAAGCATTTGTCTAAATATTAGTTTGCCCTTTTTTTCGAATGAAGACAATGTACACATAAGCGACAGGCTGTGCCAGTTGACGTAACACTAGCATTCATTGTGATCCCTTTTAGAAATGTGGATTCCAGTTCTCTGCCTCCAGTTCTAGTAAATCAGCATTTGCCATCTTACAATCTGATCACCTTCCTTCTTCCGTAATTGAAGACTAACTCCTGGGGCTGATTATCCGACTTCCTAAGGACGAGGTGGCCAGGATGACTTCTCAAAACCCCTTCCTGCTGTGATTCTATGCAGGCGCCGTGCTGGATGGCCGAGTCCTAGGAGGTGACTTTGGGGCCCCCTGGCTGAGCTGGGCGCACTGTCCAGGTCCCGTCCCCACTGGGCCCTCGGGCCGTCTCACCCGAGCTCCTCAGCTGACACCCAGCCTTGCCTTTTGTGTTTTGTGAAGCCAGTTTCCAGTTAAGAAAAAAGAGGCTAAAAATAATGATCATGTTTTTGTGCCAGATGTAGTTACAGACCCAGTCTACCATTAAGTTGAAGGGTGAGTGAGCTCCCCAGCCAGAACGAGGCCACTGAGGAGCAGCAGCTGCATTTCCATTTGTTCTGAGTTCTTGGAATCCACCGCAGACTTTGCTGGTGAGCAGAAGAGAGCCGAGCAGCAGAGCTGCTCGCCGACGTGAAGCCCGCTGACAGACCATCAGATGGAGGGGGCAGTAATTGGTACTTGGTGCCTTGCTAACATTATTTTAAGTGCTGTTGTATTTGGAAGCTAAGCCTTCTGTCAGGCCTGAAGAACAAATTGCTAATGTGTTGGTTCTTCTCGAAAGGCCCACCCCCAAGTCCTGTGCCTTCAGGAGGTGTGGCGGGCTGGCTGCAGGGGTCTGGGTGCAGATGAACCTCCATGTGAAACCTGGGTGCTCACCCGCATATGCCGGCAAGTGGGTGTTCATTATTTTGCTAGATTCAAATAAATCTATTTAAAAAGAGTCAAACAAACACCAACACCTTTATATTTTAATTCCCAAAACATCTTGTTGAATTTTAAGCGCTATCTTCAGTAGTCTGTGTGTGTTCTCATAATTATGAAGAATGAGGCTATATTTCCAGTACAGCATGCTTTTCTTTATTTTTTTTATTATTATATTGAACCACCCAAAATAAGTATTTACTCAGATTTCCTTTATTGGTGCTACAGGCTAGAATCAATTCAGCCAGCTGCCAACCTGACGGCAGCCATCTTTCCGGTCACTGAGGACATCATCATCAGAAGACAGCAGAGTGGAGGGAAGCAGGAGAGCATATGAGTTCTCCAGGTGCACTCAGGGGAATTCAGATCCAGAGGCTTCCTCCTCTAGTACATTCAGAAGCCCATGAGGCCCTTAAAGCAGCAAGCAATGAGGTGGTACTGGGTGGAAAGATTCAGGGGTATGATCTTGCTGTTGGGATGTCAAAATTATTTGCAAAATCGATTCCACTAAAAGACAGATTGGCTTCTTTTTTCCCAATTGAGTTTTGCAAATGTCTGTTGAAAAGGGCACCAGTCTGCTGTAGCATTCAGGTACAGACTGAGCTGAGGTCTCCCAGCAGAGTGCCCTCTCCTCACCGTGGCCCCACCGGCCCTTCTCACCTGTTTTCTCGTGGGTTGTAGCGCAGCCCATGGGGTCCCTCCGAGTCATAGCTCTCGTGGTAGGGGAGGTGGACCCACTCGGGCGGGTAGGTGGCCGTGCTGTACAAAAAGCACTGCACGCTGTCCCCCGGGAAGCCCTCGCCCTCCCACGTAAGCACCTCCACCTGCACCTTGGTGCGCTGGTACATGTCAGGGCAGCCTTCAAAGTCATCAAGGAAGCACAGCATGTGCTCGTCCACCCTGTAGATCTCGCCCAGCACAGAGTGGCCCCTGCCCGGGAGGTGGAGCAACCAGGGGATGCTGTGTTCACCAGCAATCACCAGGGGGTAAGGCTTGGCTGTGCGTCCTCGACCCTGGAAGGCTGCAAAGCCATTGGCGCAGTCCAGCAAGACTTTGTGGTTGGGCTGGCCTTGCTTCAGGGTGCCGTACACGAAGACAAGGGCCATCTGTCTGCAGGGGCTGCAGGAGAGAGGGTGCAGGCACGTCATGAAGTGGGAAGAACTGCCACCCCCGTGTGTGGGGTGCAAACTGTGTGGAAAGCGCCAGAGAGAATGTCCAGCAGGCATTGTTGGCTGGCATTCCCTCAGGGCCACTCCACGGTGCTGACCATAGACACACTGAGGATTGTGACAGCTCCCAAACTTACTACCCGCCCCCCGCCTCCATTCCTTCTCTCCCTCAGTGGGGAGTGGTCCCAGGGCCTATGTACACTAGGCACGCAGTCTGCCACTGAGCTACATCCTTAGCTCTTTTAATTTCTTTTTAAATATTTGAGATGGGGGGTCTCCCTAAGTTGTCCAGGCTGGCCTTGAACTTGTGATTCTCCTGCCCCAGACTCCCACGTAGCAGGATTACAGGTCTGCACCACTGCACTGGCTCCAATCAAACTTTCTTAATGGACATGAATTGGAAATTCTTACAATTTTCACATGTCATGAAAGATTTTGATTTTTTTTCAGCCATTTAAAAGTGTACAAGCTATTCTTAGCTTGCGGGCCTTTTGAAGTAGTGCCAGGTCAGACCTGTAGTCTGCCAACCCTTGGTCTGGAGAAGAGGCAAACTGTTTGTGATTTCAACAATCTTTCATGCATTTGAGAGAACATTTTGGTAGCCCTGATTTTCACTTTGGGACCTGTTGGCCCCCAGAGCTAAGCTCAAAGCCACAAGACGCCAGTCTGCTCTAACAGGAAGATGGGGCATGCTAGATACCTCTGTGCCACCTGGCAGACTGACCCCTCCCCAGAGCCGCCCTGCACAGCCCACCCAGGTCTCCTGGCTCAGGCAGCCAAACAAGCTCAGGGGGAGCCACAGAGTCAGCATGCAACAGGGGACCTACTTCCTGAGCTGCCCACTGAGTGCCAGCAGCCTACCAGGCATCACCTGAAAGAGGCCAACCTCTCTCAGGACCACAGGCCTGACCTGTTGATACCACAAACCTCCTCACACCCACACCTCACTGGCCCATCCCCCCCAGTGGGAGAGCTTCAAGGCCAGAGGACACTTGACAGGGCCCCAGCAGTGACCCTGCTCTTGACTACCATGTGGTGGGCACTGTGGTCCCAGGAAACGCCAGGCACCTTTACAGCTGCTCTCTTGGAGAAAGCAGCCCTTTCAAGACACACTTGTCCGTCCAGTGGGGAACAGCCTGGTTTCGGCCAAAGCCTTGTAGAACTTCCAGTTTCTTAAGCCACTAATTTTCAATCTTTTTAAAAGGACTTTTAAATTGGCACAATAAATATTTGTTATAGAAACATTAGGAATAATCATAAGCAAACATATATGTAAAACAGTCCCCCGAATCCAGCCCCAGAGAGAGGGAGGTTTTGGTACCACGTCTGCGCTTGGTCCTGCAGGTAGGACCACAGGCCTAACCACGGCACCGGTGGACTTCCTTCCCCAGGTCCCAGGACGATGGTGCCTCATGGACTCGCTGTGACTGCCAGCAGCCACCCTGCCCCCGGGGAAGGCAAACACTGACTGCTCACCTGGGTCTGGGCCAGACTGTTACCTAACGACAGAGAGACTCCGACAAACCTGGAGATACACGTTGAGGAGGAGCTGGGCCTCTTCAAAGCCTGCCTCTCAGCCCTCTGCAGGCTTCTTGGACAGACGCCTTGGCGATGGGGCTCCCGGTGCAGGAGCTCAGAACACTTCCTGGGAGGGCTTGAGGCGGGGCTCAGCGGCACAGCACTGGCCTGGTGTGCAGGAGGCCTGGGTTCAATCCCAGCATAGCAAAAAAGAACCAAAAGGTGCATCGAGGGCCTGTAAATAGCTTTGCAAGGAAGTGCAACTCCCTGTCCATCCACTCCCCAGAGGCAACACTCTGAGTCCTGTTGGGTATTTCCACACTGCTGGCCGCTACTCCTTATACTGTGGATCTTTCTCTTTCTTCCTTTCCTTTCTTTCTTTCTTCCTTCTTTTTCTTTTTTTTTTTTTTGGTACTGGGGATTTAAGGGGCACTCAGCCACTGAGCCACATCCTCACCCCATTTTTGTATTTTATTTAGAAACAGGGTCTCACTGAAATGCTTAGCACCTCGCTTTTGCTAAGGCTGGCTTTGAACGTGTGATCCTCCTGCCTCAGCTTCCCGAGCCAATACTATTTCTTGATGCTTTAAATTATGTCTCCCTGGACTAGGGATGTGGCTCAAGCGGTAGCGTGCTCGCCTGGCATGCGTGTGGCCCGGGTTCCATCCTCAGCACCACATACCAACAAAGATGTTGTGTCCGCCGAAAACTAGGAAATAAATATTAAAAAATTCTCTCTCTCTTAAAAAAAAATTATGTCTCCCTTCTACTCTGAAGCAGATGCGCACAGTATAGAGTGCTGACTTCAGAACGGATCACCTGCTGAAATCCGGGTCCTCGCACGGGGCTCACACTGTAGAGTAGATCCCTTAACCTGTCTGTGCTGACTCTTCATTAACTGTAGAAGGAAGCACTCGGCAGCCACCTTGGGGGGCGTGGCAGCCAACACGTGCCCTCCACCCTGTCCCCAGTCCTCCCAAGAGACTCCGCACCTTTCTGGTCCAGTGCTCATCATTTCAGCCCGGGAACAGTGGCGACACTGCTCTCAGCTGAGACCTGTAGCGCCCGGTGGTTAAATTTCCTCTCCGGGGCAATGTTTCTTCTTCATGAAGACTGCTTTGGGCTTGTCACCATGGTGGGGACCCTGCCTCAACTTTTCTGGAAGCTGGCCCCTGCTGTCCTCGCTGCTGCTTTCTCTGTGCCTGCAGAGCCCTCTGCCCAGCCTGGCCCGGGGACACTGCTGACCCTCGCAGCCTGTGGCTCTCTGTGTTGGGGGGGACCCTGGGCCCACTCCCTCGCTTTGCTGAGGCTTCTCTTTCCCACCTGGGGTTAATGATATGGCGGGCAAAGCATTCTAGAGCCCCCAGGAGTGAGGGCCATCTCTAGCTCCTGTTCCTGCCGAGGCCGTGCTCTGGGGTCGTGCGCAGCCTGCGGAGCTGCATCTCCTTTCTGGGGTTCCGTGTTGCCCCTGGATTCTGAAATGAGGCTCGTGGGACTCCCTTTTGGTTCCTCGTGCTGGAATCCAGTCTGCACACTCTTGATCTTGGTCCTGAGGAAGGCCCTGCCTCTTCCCTCGGGTTCCTCCTGGGTCTCCTCGTGTCCAGGGGCATGTCCTGAAGTGACCGCTGCTCTCTCCTCCTGCGCTCCAGGGTTTCCCACTTCTCCTTCCACTTCTGCTACTCGCCCCCGTTTCTCTCCAGCGTCTTTTCCTGTCCTCCAGTTTGAGCCTCTTGCTCTTTCCCAGGCCCATGTCCTCCTCCTCCCCGTGGCTGTCCTCTGACTTCCTCTTTCCTGTCCGTTGGTCTCCTCGAGGTCTCTTCAGCTGTCGCAGTCCTTGGCCAGCCGTTCACAATGACAGCTGAGATACTGCGGAAGCGACACTGGAGTAGACAGGGAGCGAGCTCTGGGCCAGCTCTGAGGACAGACTGGGGGACTCAGACAGTAAAATCCCCACTTTGGGGAGTGTCACTCACAGCCGCCCTCAGATGGGTCTGTGTTCCCAGTACCCAGGTGTTCCTGCCAAGCTCTCTAGGAGTGGCCTGCTGTCCTCGGCTGGGCCTGAGGGGAGCCTGGGGTCTCTGTCCTGCACAGCCTCTCAGCCCTCCCTGTTCCCAGCCCTGCCCTCACACACCTCTGGCCTGTGATTCCGAAACACCCGTCAGCTGACATCTCAAGGCCTTCTCATTATGCAGGAACCTAAGATTAGGTTCTGGTGGTTCCAGGCTAAGTCAGTTACCACTCAATTCTGTTTTCTTTTCTTTCTCTTTTTGTAGTATGGGGGATTTAACGCATTACTTTTGTTTTATTTCAAAATTTTGTTGCATGCTTTCCTCTCTGGCCATATAGGTTGTTTGAGTAGTGTCTGAGTCTGTTTTGTGTTACTGTAATGAAATGCCTGAGGCTGAGTAACTTTATAAAGAAAAGATGTTCATTTAGCTCATTGTTCTGGAGTTTTGAGGGCCTGCATCTGGCAAAAATGGCCTTTCAGCTGGCAGGGCCCTGAGGTGATACAGAGTACCACAGGGTAGGAGACAGTTCACACGTGTGGGTCTTTCCATGACCCTCTGGATTATGAAAGGTTATGATGTAGACTAGTGGGTTTTGTTTTTCACTCTTTGCCCCTCTTCCACTTCTTATTCCTCCCATTGCACGGCCCAGCCCCTCCACAGGGACACGGACGGTGTCTTCACCTTTGATGCGCAACAGACAGGAAGCAGTGGGATGGATGAGCATGTAGAGTATGGGATGACGGGCTTCCCGGCTCACCAAGAGCAACCAGTGAGGTCCACTGTGGGCACCAGAGGGAGGGCTAGCGATGGCCAAAGATGTCAGGCAGATAGCAGGGACTGAGAGGGGACGCACCTCTGCTGCTGAGACAAGAGGAAGGGGAAGAGAAGGCCACAACTACAGGAGAAGGAAAGCCCGTGCAGCGCAGGGGCAAGTTTGGCACGTGCCCAGCACATAGGACAGCGGCCTCCTCCTGCCTCCACGAGGCTGATCAAGCACACAGGACATTTGGCCTCCTCCTGCCTCCACAAGGCTGTGCATCAAGACGTGGAGACAAGCTGGTCCCCGGGGTGCTGCGAGTCCCAGAGTGGGGACAGTGAGGAGCACGGTGCACCTGAGGCCTCCGGAAGCCTCTCCGGGGAGTGCCGTCCAGCTGCACGCAGAGTGGGAAGGGGAGGCCAGAGCTTGGGGAGAGCAGACTTAATTAACCTAAGTTCCCTACATAAATGAAATCATGTCACATTTGTCTTTTAGTGACTGCTTACTTCACTTAGCATAAGGTCCTCAAGGTTCACTCCTACAGCCTGGGTCAGAATTCCTCCTTTTTAATCCTCTGTAATATTCCACCATATGGCTATACCACATTCTACTTATCCATTTATCTGCAGGGGGACTCGCGGGTTGCTTCTAACTCTTGGCTATTGTGAATAGCACTGCTACAAACACGGGTGTGTAAATACCTCTTGGAGATCTTGCTTTGAGTTATTCTGGATGTGGAACCATGAATTCATATGGTCAATTTTTTTAAGGGCCCGCCACCCTGTCTCCCAGCTGATCCACCCTGTTACATGCAGGACCGTCAGTGGCACAGAGGGCTCCAGTCTCTCCTCGGCCTTCCCGGCCCTTGCTCTGCAGCTGCTTTCAGATAGTGGCCATCCTAATGGTGTGAGCGGTGTTTCGTTGTTGGTTTTGATTTGCATTTTCCTATGGCTTAGTGACCTTGAGCATCTTTTCCTGAGCTCATTGGCCATCTCTCTTTTTTGGAAAAATGTCTTTTCAAGTCCTTTACCCAATGTCTTAATTGAGTTGCTGGGTTTTTGTGGTTGTGTCTTAGGAGTTCTATTTTCTGGATAACAACCCCTTTACCAGATATATGGCTTGCACTTATTTGCTCTAATTCCATGGGTTGCTTTTTCATTCTGATGACCGTGACCTTTAATACACAAAAACATTTTTGATGCAGTCCAATTCATTTTTAATTTAATGTTCCGTGGGTAGACATTTAATTTTGTTGCCTATGATTTTTGTGTAATACCCAAGAAGTCACTGCCAAATCCAAGTCATGAAGCTTTTCCCAAATTGTTTTTCTAAGTTTTATACACTTAGCTCTAAATTTTGAGCTCTTTGATCTATTTTAATTTTTAAATATGAAATAAGGGTCTAATTTCACTCATTTGCATGTGGATATCCAGTTTTCCCAGCACCATTTATTGATAAACTGTCCTTTCCCCATGGAATGGTCTTGACACCTTGATGAAGCTCATTACTGTATACACAGGAATAAATCTATGGGTCCTCTACTCTGTCTCATTGGTGTAATGTCTATCTTTATACTATTATGTCACCATTTTGATTACTGCAGCTTTATAGTAAATTCTGAAATCAGGAAGAATGCAACTTCCAATACTGTCATTTTTTAATAGTGTTTTTTCTTTTGGGGGAGGCTTGAGATTCCATATGAATTTTAGGATGGAATTTCTTATTTCTTATTTATGGTGGTTTTGATAAGGATTGTGTTATGTAGGTTGACTGCTTGAGGTGGTACCAACATTCTAACAATATTATCTTGCAGATCACAAATATGGGATGTCTTTCCTTTTGTGTCTTAATTTCATTCAATGTTTGATAGTTTTCAGTGTACAAATATTTTACCCACTTGGTTAAGCTTATTGGTTTAGTTCATTTCTAAGTATTTTATTCTTTTTGATGTTAGTCCAATGGTTCATTGTTATAGTATATAAGAATACAGCTGACTTGTGTTGATTTTATATCCTGAAACTTTACTGAATTCACTTATTCTTTCTAATAGGTTTTTTTTTTTGGTGGAATTTTTAGGTTTTTTTCAATAGACAAGACGATGGTGTCAAGTTCACTTCTTTCCAATTTGGATGGCTTTTGTTTCTTTTTCTCACCTGATTGCTCCAGCCGAGTCTCCTACTACCGTGTTGGGTGGAGGTGGTGAAAGTAGGCGTGAGGGCTTTGTTCCTGATCTTCGGGGTGAGAGTGGTAAGCTGGAGGCTTTCCACAGATGACTCTGCTCTGTTGAAGTCCTTTCCTTCCACACCTAGTTGGAGTGTTTTAACCAAGAAATAGCATTGAATCCTGTCAGATGCTTTTTCTGTATTAACTGAGACGACCCAGGTTTTTTTTTCCTTCATTCTGTAATGTGGTATATTACGGTGGTTAAAGTGTATGTGATAGAGGGAGCACTTGGGATTGAACCCAGGAAAGCTCTACTTCTGAGCTTTTTAAAATTTTGAGACAGGGTCTTGCTAAGTTGCTGAGGCTCACCTCAAAATTGTGATCCTCCTGCCTCAGCCTCCTGAGTTGCTGAGATTACAGGTATGGCCACTAAGCAGGCAAAGTGATTGATTTTTGTATGTTGACCCACCCTCCTATTCCCGGGGTAAATCCCACTTAACCATGAACATGATACTTCTAATGGATGGTGAATTCTGTGGGCTATGTGCTCGTAAGGATGTGGCATCAGTCCGCATGGGGGATGTTGGTCTGCAGACCTCTTCAGTGTCCTTGCCGGCTGTAGTCCTAAGGTCATGCTGGCTTCATGGAGTGAATCTGGATTGATTTCAGGAAGACCGGGGCTAGTTCTTTAAGTATTGGGTAGAACTCACCAGAGAAGCCATCTGGCCCTGGGCTTTTCCTTTGGGGGAGTGTGGGGTGAGCACTTCTCTCTCACTCTCCGCAGCAGCTGTCGGTGGTGACCTCTTCTTGCTGGGGTTCTGCCGGCTGCCTCACCTGGCCAGCCCTTTGGTTGCAGGACGCTGTCCACACCCCTCCTGTGGCCCTTTTTATTTCCGTAAGGTTTCTGGTGTTAGTTATTTGGTCGACTTTGCCCTTCTTTTCTGTCTACCGACTCGTATTTCATTGTTTTCCTCTGATCTCCGTTTGTTATCTCTGCTCTAACCTTTACTGTCCCTTTACGTCTCCCAGCTGGGGCTTTAATGTGCCTTCCTTGCTGTCACGTGCAGCCATTTCCAAGGCTGCTGTGAAGACCGCAGCCAGTGGGACACATGAGAAGTGCACTTCAGTGGCCAGGACGACGCAGAGCGTGCATGGGTTCCTGGGCCCAGGACAGCATGGGAACCCTGCGCTGACCAAGCGGGCCCTTGGGCCACACTTGGGAAGGGCCATTGCCTGAGAGTCGTGGGAAGGTACCGCGTCTTCGCCCTGGGCCTCCGGCACCCCGGTGCTTCCCACCACCCTGGTGATGGCGAGAGTCTTGGGTGAAATGCAAGAGCCTGGTTTAATACAGAACAGACAGGGGCAGCTTAGGTGCGACTGGTGGGCTTTTCCAGAGCAAGATCAGGGCTGCTGTTCAGATCTGGTTTAATGTGAAGTAGAGGTCCCCAAGCAGCCTGAACAGTGACACTCAAGGAGCAGGGTTCTACAGGACAGACACCGCGTGGGCCCAGCCCCGCAGAGCCACACCAGATGGGGTGGCCCAGTGTTCTGTGGGTAGACATTTAAGACACAGTGCACTGTGACAACAGCAGCCCTAACTCTAAAGCCACCGCCACCACCCAGCAGTCGTAGGTCTGGGGGAGAGTCTGTCGTGTTTCCCTGTGAGCCAGTCTCTACCAACTGCCTACTGTGTGCCAGGCACGAGCCCCAGATGCAGCCCATTCCCTCCTCCCTGACCTCCTTAGTCCAACTGCCTTCTTTAGCAAGATCTTACAAAAAGATCTGCTCACTGCATTCTTGATCAAGCCTCTAGAAATATAAATGAGTACCCTAGAAGTGGGAGAGGAAACCAAGCCATCTGGGTATAGGCTATGGTCTTACTGCTGAGAAGCAAGAGTGCTCAGAAAAGGACACCACGCAGGAGGATCGTGATGAGCCCCAGAACGTGACCTTCTTCTGCAGCAAATGATAGCTTATTCCCAAACAAGAAACCAGGCAATAGAAGTTAACCTTCTTTTCTAGGAAATATATCTGTAAGTGTGTCCTTTATAATGTAACGTTAGTTTGAAAACATGGCTGGCTCCTGCAACAAAAATCATTCTACATTTCTGGCTTCTCTCCTAAGAAAAACCTCCTTACCTTTTTTGATTATGTTTTGAACACACAGAGATCCTTCAGGAAGCAACCTGTCCCTGTGGGATGGAGAAAGGATCAGAGTTAAGCACTGAAACAAGCAATTAATTCCCATTAGAGGATTAAGGCACTCATGTTCGCTTTGAATCAGAAAAGCAAATTGTGGACAAAATGGTGTATAGCCAAGAGGTGGCTTGTCACGACTAATAAACTGGAGCACCGAGGAGCACCCCAAGTACACCCCGAGGCCAGGAGCGGGCAGGTCCTGTCGTGGGATAGGTTCCCTTTCTCTTTGTGATACTGTAACAAATACCGGGAGAAAGTACAATTTGTGGCACATGCTGCTGTCCTTACTCTAACAGATGTGGCCGTGAGGAAGTCTGAAAGCCTGTGTCCCCACCCCTCAGGCATGGATTACACCTCTTACCCCTGAAACAGAATCAAAGGCAGTCTCACGCGGGACAGCACAACGTCCTGGGCGCGAGGGCCGCCTCCTCATGAACTCTCAGGGCTGAGGTGTGCTCTGCCTGGGGACTGAGGAACCCAAAGCTGAACCTCTGTCCCAAAACCAGCTGGCCAGGAACACTGCGACCATCCAGGGGTCAGTCTGGAGGTGGAATGGGCTCAGGGAGCCTCAAAAAGTTTGAGTTCAGCAAAATCTGGCTGGTTTAAATTGTCAATATTTTTAAAAAAACAAAAATCAAAAAAACCCCTCATGGCAACGTGCCTCTGGCCGGCACCGCTGGACACGCCTGTCACTTGCTTGGCAGTCCCTCAGGAAGCGCAGGCCGTCTATCGTTTCATATTTCATCACTGAAGCAGAAATGGAGAGGATCGGGTCTCCATGTGATCGTGGATCGGCCTGCTTCACTTCCCTCCTAGCCACCTGGTGGCAAGAGTGTAAAAGGCAGGACTTCGGAGTTGATTAGACAGTTTACAAAGGACACTATTTCACATGCCCGTCCACCCCCAAATCACACCAGGTGAGCTGCATGAGAAAAGGGCTGATACTTCCTTATTCTTGACTTGCCAAAGGATTTTAAAGAGTCACTGCCTTCTCACAAAGTGACCTTTAAGAAAGGTGCCTCAATAAAGTGTCCCTTCTGTTTGTGTTCAAATTCAGACACAAGGAAGCAGGAGGAAATCCGTGCACTGTCCCTTCCAGCTCTTCTCTACGGACAAACCCATCACAAGGCACCGTACCCGCTGTCAGCAGTAGAGGGACAGGTTGGGGTGGCCAGCAGCTCTGCCCCTCACTGCAGGCTGGGGGCCGTGGGCTCTCACCACAGCCTCTGGCCAGGGAACTGCCCAGCACAGATCTCACCTGTCCTTTCACTTGCGCCTCCTTAGCTCCTATTATTCGCCATCTTGTGTCCAAGCTGCATCCTGCAGAGTTCATGCAGGGCACAGTGGGCGGAGCTCAGGCCACCCCGTCCCAACTGAACACACAGTGCCAACCACTGCCCTAGTCCTCAGGTGACCAGCAGCAGCTGTGTGCTGGGCATCTGCCCGGAGCATGCACGCAGGTGACGGGGTGCTGGAAACGCAGCAGGCAGCACTGCTGGTGGCACGTCCTCTCCCGGGAGGACTTTCCGCAGAAACCCCGTGGCCTCTCAATGCAATCTCTTCCCCTCCCCCATGGTCACACTGCTTCCCAGGAGAGGAGGCCGAGTGTCTGATATAGTTACACATTAATTCTTCAGAAGTCTCTTAGAACTGTAGGAAGCAGGTGAAAAAACAAAATGCCGTGAACTTTAAACTCGGGCCTGGCCTGCGAGCACCAGGGGTCTGAGGTCACCCTTCCCTGCGGCCCGGCGCCGTGCCAGGCAGGGCTGCGGCGCATCCTGTGGGCGCTTTGATGTTTTCATCTCCCGCTCGCCAGCCTCTCTCGGAAAGTCAAGGGCTTCCTGCTGCAGCCGAGCCCCACTGGCCCCTCTGGGTGCCCAGGAATGAGGCTGGCAGAGCACCCCCTGGCTTCACTGCAGGCCAGTGGACACCACGCCTTCAACCCAGAGGCTGGGCCCCCGCCATCCTCACAATCTAGGGAAACAAATGGTGCTTTAGGGGGTCCTAGGAGCACGGCCTTTGGCAACCGTTCCATGGGATTTTACTCTTGGTTATGATAAAATTACTCTTTTAGGCCCCATCATATTAAAAATTATTGTGGTGCCATCTTCGGAACGCACACTGACCACCAATGCAGACTTGACCTTCCCTGCTCCCACCTGGAGGGACAGATGACCTGCTGGGCACCAGGGCCAGGCACAGCCCGGGCAGTCATGCAGCTGGCCCCTGCTGCTCCCAGGGGACTTGGCAGCTAACAGACACCTGAAAACAGGTCTGGGTCCAGCAGCTCCAATGCCAGAGAAGGTGCCAATGCCCTACGGTGCCTCTTAGGAATTCTGGTACCACCTGCAACTTGGCAGTTAAATGCAACAGGGCAGCCACCTTGGAGTGACAGCACGGGCCCCACCTGCTCTATGCTGAGAGATCCACTGCACTCTCTAGGTCCTGCTCAAGGTCCTGCTCCAGGCTACACAGCAAGATAGTCTTGTCCCTAGGGACACTCAAAAGCCCTTACGTACAGGATACCGGTGCAAATCCACAGGCATCTCACTCTGAGGGGCTCTGCCACCACTTCAGATCCATAGCCTGCCAGAAAAGCCAGGCCCAGAGAGAACAAAGTGCCCCAGACCCCTAATGTGACCCAGGGAGCTGGGCCTGAAACAGAGGGCTCAGTGCTCAGAGGGGACGGCACAGATAGCTCTAGCTGTGAAGTGTGATCTAGGACCCACGAGACCCATCTCAGCGGGCAGTGGGCAGTGGGCACTCCCTGGGAGGCACGGCACGTTGCAGGGCCGGGAGATGGTGACAATGGATCCTGTTCCAGGTGGTTCCATGGGGCAGCCATCTGTCAGTACCTCCTCCTGTATGCCTAATCTGGGACTTTGGTTGAATGCAAAGTAAAGCTCAAAGAAACTGACCTATAAATAAAAGCTAAAGGAGCTCAGGAAAGGCAGGCAGGTTGCAGGCCGCTCGGACTCGGTCATTATTACCAGTGTCAATAGTCCACACACTCCCCAGGCCCTGATCAAAAGCAGACACTCAGCATATTAGATTAGGGTTTCCACAGAATCTGAATATTTTCAAAGTACTTCTACAAATAGTGATGGTGGCCTCTTAGGCTTAGTCACTTTCTGGAACCTAACATGCAATAAACAAAACAAGACAGACTGCTCTGTGTTTACCACCTGGGTTCACAGAAGAGTGGCAGAGTCAAGGTCAGTTGCCTAGAGGTATGGACGAGGGGTGCATGGGACGTCTGTGGTCCTGGACAGTGGGGCGCACAGTCAGAGCCTCTGTGCCCATCCAGGGCCCCGGCCCTGCTGGCTGTTGATCAAACAGTGATTTTCCACACTTGGCTACTAAGAGACACAGCACATGGTTGGTCTGTTTTCCAGGCCTGCCGGAGCTTTCAACTTACTTGCTGGCAGTTGCTCAAAGTATGTTTATTGAGCCTCGAGTCCCTTGACTGGCTGGCCTGGAACAGGACTGACTGTGTACTGAAGTACTATTTAAAGGGGTTCTTCAGAGATTTCTTATGCTCATATTAACATAGTCCTTATTTTATATGTTTCTTAGGTGAGAAATGGAGAGTTTTGGAAAGCAAACTCATATTCAGGTTAAAAAAATCTAGAAGACAATTATAAAATATTACACAAAGTCATTCTCTTCTCCTTGAAGTGATTTGCTAACAAAACATTCTAGAAGGATAAGAACCTGACTCACTGCCTAGTACATGCAATCAGGAGCTAAAGGGAACTGCAAACCCAACTGACCGCTAGAAACCAACAAATGAGCTGCACAGTGGTCACCTGGCCTCTGCCAATAGCAACCAGCCGGTCAGGAGTCATCCGAACTCCATTTTCAATGGGCCTGGAAATCAAGATTCAATTCTTTTGGTAGCAATGACAGATTTATGTTTCTCTAAAAATATCATTAAAGCCAGCTTTAAATGCTCTGGAAAGACATTGACTACCTACAAGGAATCAGGCAGGAGGCAGCAGATAAAGAGAAACACAAACCTGGAAAAGGTGAGTGCCCACGGTAGTACACCCCCAAGGAAACGAGAGCCCCCCACACCCTGCAACCTGCTTGCTCTCACATACAAAGCTCTATTTTTAAACACTAAAAAATCAAGCCTTTAAAAATATAGAAGCTAGAACTCAAAATTAAGCCTGATGGGCTCTTGGACTAATTGCTATCCCCAAAGCATTCAAATCCTTTCCGTGCTTATATAATTACCCCAAGTTAAATCAATTAAAACTCTGATTTACAAGAAGGGAGTCGGGGAGGAAATTAAGGGCACATTACTGAACAAGCTTTTACATACTATGTATCAAGTGGATTCATTTACTCACATTCCTGAGCCCTCACGTTGCCCCTGGTACTATTCGCTGTCAGAAGCCTGAGCTCTGAGTCCAAATCTGATCTATACTGGGGCTGAGCAAACTGGACCCACCCAGCAAACTGAATCTGACCCTATCAGACCTATATACAACTATATAGAGCTTTTTGTGTGTGGCACTGGGGGTTGGACTCAGGGTGCTCTACCACTGAACCACATCCTATTTAAATTTTCTTTTGAGGGAGGTCTTGTTAAATTGCTGAGGCTTGAACTTGCATCCTCCTGCCTCAGCCTCCCAAGTAGCTGTGAGTAGCTGTGATTACAGGTCTGGCCACCATGCTGGCTGGATCCCACTTGAGCTCTATCAAGTGGGAACACTGACAAAAGGGGGGACAGGGGACAGGGGTTGGGATGGAGGCTGGAGCCAGCACACCAGTTCCTCAAGCTTAAAGCCCCCTGGCCTCTCTAGTATTGGGGTGGGTTCCAGGACCCACCTAAATATTAACAAAAAAACCATTTTTGTATATACTGGACTATGAAAAAGCACTTAAAGCCAATGTAGAGTCTACTCCGGACCACAAAATCCCTTGTTAAAAGGTAAACCCCCTTTCCTGTGTCATGGTTATATGGGGACAGATGGCGGCTCCCCGCAGTTTATGAACTTGTTCAAATAAATCTTTTTCAAAAACAGCAGCACAAGATCTTTGTTTTTCTTTCCTTTTTTTTCTTTTTAAGAGAAAACCGTCTATTCAGGGACTTTCTGGATTGCGTAACTCAGGCTGGAGGCATGGGAGGCATTGAACTCTTTTTTTTTTTGTCTATAGGAGCTCTCTCATTTTCCTGCCCAAACTACCTTCTTTCTTTCTTTTTTTGGATGGGGAGCAGGTGCGGTTACTGGGGATTGAACCCAGGGGCACTCTACCACTACACCCCAGCCCTTTTTTTAAAAAATATTTTTTAGTTGTAGAGGGACACAATACCTTTATCTGTTTATCTTTGTGTGATGTTGAGGATGGAACCCAGGGCCCCGCACATGCTAGGTGAGCACTCTACCACTGAGCCACAGCCACAGCCCCACCCCAGCCCTTTTTTTATTTTGAGACAGGATCTTGGTAAGTTGCCCAGGTGGCCTTGAGCTTGCCATCCTCCTGCCTCAGCCTCCAGAGTAGCTGGCATTATAGGCATATATCACCACTCCCAGCCCCAAACTACTTTTTCAATTAACAAACAAACAAAAATTGTACAGGTAAACAGGAAGAAGAAGAGACTCTCTCCTCTGCCTCTCAGCTGTCGAAGCTAAGCAAACCTCTTCTGTCCCACTTGGGATCAGTCCACACAGCCCACAAGGAACCTGCTGGCCCCTTCCTACCCCTTGGCTGGCACTGACAGACTTCACCTCTGTCTCAGTAATTCCCCCAAAAGAGGAAAAGTGACTACCCAGAGGGCATGCCTCACAAACCACGTACTTTCTGGGGGTTAACCAGAGGCCCAGTTGAAGCCCTTAAATGTTCAGCTCTTTACTCCTCCCCAGAAACCCAGCTCTGCATCCGCCTGCACCTGGTACTGAGGTGGCAAAGGAGGGAGCAGAGAAGGGACAGGACACATAGAGAGAATACTCTGATCCCTTAGAAGTTCAACGTTTCTCCTCCAAAATTCACGCAAACCTGGCATGGTTTTAATATAACAATGATCTCCCTATTTTCCAGTTCAGGGATTTCTCTCCCTTCTTCCTATTCCCACATTTTAAATAAAGGTCACTTTCCAGGAAGTGGGCCCCCTTCACAGGAGGCAAGACCTCCTCCCCAGCTGTCGGTACCCAAGGGGGAGAAGAGGGGCTGTCTGACCAGGAAGCTCCTGTGGTGCCCTCCCACCGATTCTGTGGGCTCTGCGAGAGCCCTGACCCCAGCTCGCAACTCAGCTGGCTGCAGGGGACCCTTCTCCTCCATGTACAAAGCGAGGTATGAATGCAGCCCAACCCAGGTCTTTCTTGAAGACTAGAGAGAGCCAGGTGGACGCTGGTTCGTTTGTGGATTCCACCTCATCGCCCTCACCAAGGAGGGACATCCCTATATGTACATTACAATTGAGGAATATAATGAATAACTTCACACCAAGAAATTCTACAATGTAGATGAAACAGAAAAGTTTTCTAAAGGCAGACACAAAGGACCAAAGCTTATTCCAGAAGACGCGACGACCTGAAGAGCCCTCTACCTATTCATACGCCTTCACTCGGTTTAGAACCTGTGCATAGAGGCAGATGGCTTCAGAGGTCAATCCTACCCATGCTTAGAAAACTTAGGAGGAAATAATACCAGTATTACACAAATTTCCAAAAACTAGAAGAGGAAGCCACACTCATAATTCCGTATGTGTGTGTGTGTGTGTGTGTGTATGAGAGAGAGAGAGAGAGAGAGAGAGAGAGAGAGAGAGAGATACTATGGATTAAACCCAGGGCACTCTACCACTGAGCTATAACCCTAATCCTTTTAATTTACTTAAATTTGATGCAGGGTCTTGCTTAGGTGCCCAGGCTAACCTTGAACTTGTGACCCTCTGTCACAATGGCAAAAGTTTGACATCTACAGTCGAGGGGAGAGATAAAGAATATCCGTGTGCTTCTTCCCTTTTCAATGTTTTATTTACTCAAATCATATCATACAATATCACTCTATAGGTTCTTTTAATCAAAGAATGATAATCCTTAATGCTGGGCATTGCAACAGACATAATCAATTCAAAGCAAACAATTCTTATTAATTCTAAGCACTGCAAACATACTCAATCAAGACAGACCTATTGCAGACATTCCCTCTGCACGCCAAGCTTAAATGCTAGATTTAAAGTCTTAAGTCTTAGGTCTTAAGTCCAGCAGATGCACACTCACTCAGACCGCAGCGACCAGGTCAGGAACCGATAGAGGCTTCTCCTGGGGTGGAGTTGAGTTGAGGGCTGGCTGAGGAGATGGTCATAAGGAGAAGTCCTTTTCTCACCAGAGTCAAGAGGCTGCTGTAGAGTTTGAGAGTGGTGAGGACAGACGGATGAGAACAGTTGGGATGTCAGTCCAGATCCTCATCAGGCTCAGGCTTGTGTGCATCAGTGTCGGCTAGATGAATGTCTGCTCATTTGCTCCATCATTTATGCTAAATTTTGGAGCTTCTGACCACCCTTTCAATCCCTATTAGTTGTTATCAGGTTTCTCAGTGACATCTTTCATTCTGAGGTCATCTAGTCTGGTGGTCTCTGCCCTGAACTTTTGCCTTTTGCCTTTATCGGGGTGAAGGCAAATGATAGAAACTTTACTTGAGTTTTATCAGGGTTGTGTAAAGTGACTTATTTTATCAGGCTGTGCCTGATGACCATATTGGAGGGCTCCATAGGTGTACCTGGTCAGGAGTGCAGTTTTATTTCAAAATGGAGTTACTTAGGCTAAGGCCCTTCTTAAGTTAAGGCCATCCTTACACCCTCATGCCTCAGTTCCAAAACTGCTGGATTACAGGTGTGCATCACAACACCTGGCTTGCTGTAAGTGCTGAAGAAGTAAGCACTTAATTCCACTTATGGTTCCAAAACCAAATAAATACATTGGTACAAATGAATGAGAACTACAGGCTACTATCATAAACATAAATGCAGAAGTCTTCTACAAATATTAGCAAAGTTGGGGCTGGGAATGTGGCTCAGCAGTAGAGCACTCGCCTAGCACAATGCAAGACCCTGGGTTTGATCCTCAACACCACATAACAATAAATAAAATAAAGTTATTTTGCCCAACTACAACTAAAAAATAAAATATTAAAAAAAATTAGCAAAGTTAATCTAGCAGTATATAAAAAGTGTTATACATCGTTACCAAGAAATGTTTCACCCTAGCAATGTAAGGTAGTTTAATATTTAAAAATTAATGACTCACCAGAGGAACACATTGAAATAGAAAAACCCAGGCTGGGATTGTGGCTCAGCGGTAGAGCGCTCGCCTAACACGGGTGGGACCCGGGTTCAATTCTCAGCACCACATAAAAATAAAGGCATTGTGTTGTGTCCATCTACCAACAACAACAACAACAACAAAAAAAAAATAGAGAGATTCTCTCTCTCAAAAAAAAAAAAAAATTGAAAAAGCTTAAGATGATCTTGAGAGATGCAGAACAAGCACTTGACAAAATTCAACAAATCCGGGACAAAAATTCTCAGTAAACTGGGAATAGAAGATGACTTTCTCAACCTGGTAAGAGGCAGCTAGGAATCACTGACAGTCTGCAGCCTTCCTCACGGTGAGTGACCAAACAGGGCCCCTGGTACTGGAGGAAGGTGAAGACGTCCACTCTACCCAGTTCCATTCAGCAGGAACTATCTAACTATCCTTTTACTTTTCCCATTGACATGACTTTCTGTATAGAAAATACTAAGGAACACACAAAAAAAGTGATTAGAACTAAAGAGTTTAGCGAGAATTTAAGATACAATATATAAAAATCAATATATAAAAATATATTGGTCAATATATAAAAATCAGCCAGGCATGGTGGTGCACACCTGCAATCCCAGAGACTCAGGAGGCCAAGGCAGGAAGATCACAAGTTCAAGGCCAGTGTGTTTTGATGGAGAATGGATGTAGTTAAAATGCTTACTCTCCCTAAGTTGGGCTATAAATGCAACTTAGACTCTATCCCAAAATAAAAATAGATAAATAAAAAGGGCTGGGAATGTAGCTCTGTGGTAGAGTGCCGTGGGTTCAATCTGCAGTACCACAGAAATGAATAAATGGATTAATTAATAAATGCAATCAACTGTATTTTTATATACTGGTAGAGAAAAAATGGAACTTGAAAATTTAAAAACTCTAGTACTATTTAAAATAGCACCAAAAAAAAAATTGAGATACTAAAGGTCAAATTTAACAAAATGTGTGCAAGACTCAAGCACTGGAAATTCAAAAACTGTTGAAATTCAATATCTAAGTAGAATGGAGATATACTGTGTTTTGATGGAGAATGGGTGTAGTTAAAATGCTTACTCTCCCTAAGTTGGGCTATAAATTCAACCTAATTTTAATGAAAATTTCAAGGTTTTTTTTTTTGTAGATTGATAAGCTGAATCTAAAATTTCATAAAAGGTCAAAGGATCTAGAACACTCAAAACAATATTGAAAAAGGTGAACAAAGTTTGTATTTGAAAACCTCAAAGCTACAATACAGACAGCAAGGAATTAGACGAAAGATAGACATCGAGATCAGTGCAATGTTCTTTCGGGGGTAGGATGTGAATGTAGTAAAACCACCCACTTGTACACTTGAGGATGGCAAATTCTGTGGAATGTAAATTGTGGCACTTAAAAAATAATAATAAAAAAAAATCAATGGAAGAGAGTCCACAAGTGGATCCACCCTTGTAAGGTCAACTGCTTTCAGTAGAGGTGCCAAGGGAATTCATGGGGTGTGGACAGTCTTTTAAACAAATGGTGCATGTCCATGTGCAAAAAACCCCTCATCTTCACTCTATGTTGTTAAACTTAGAATGTATCCAAACGTAACAGCTAAGACTTTTAGAAAGGAAATCTTTTGCTAGAACACAAAAAAACATTTTAAAAACAGTAAGTTTGATAACATGAAATTCTAAAACTTCTGAAGACAAGTAAATAAAAAGGCAAATGCAGACTAGAAGGAAATATCTGCAAAACTTACATCTGGTAAAGGACTTCTATCCAGAATGCAAAAAGAACTCCCATGACTCAAGAAGAAGAAAATAACCTAAGTAATAACAGACAAAAGATGGCATGAACAGATGTTTTACCAAAGATGAATGAATCTCAAGTAAGCACATGAAAAGACACAACTAGTAGTCATTAAGGAAAAGCAAAAAAAAAAAAAAAAAAAAAAAATCGCAATGCTGCCATTACATACGTACTACTATGGCTAAAACTGAAAAATACTAGCATCAAGTGTTGGCAAGGATGTAGTATAACTGAAACTCTCAGACATTTGAAACAACTTTGGAAAATAGTTTGACAGATTTTTATAGAGTTAAACATACATTTGCAAGCTCACTTTGGGGAATGAAAATATCCAAGATTGGGCTGGGGTTGTAGCTCAGCAGTAAGACGCTCGCCTAGCATGTGTGAGGCACTGGATTTGATCCTCAGCACCACATATAAATAAATAAAATAAAGGTATTGTGTCCACCTACAACTAAAAAAAAATTTTTTTTAAATACTCAAGATAAACGGGCTGATACATCTACATAAAAACCTGTCTGTGAATGTTTACAGCTCTTCTGTTCATAGCGGCCAATAACTGGAACCAATCCAGAGGCCCATCACCTGGAGACTGCGTGAACCAATCAAGGCACAGAGATACAAGACCCTGGATAAATTTCAGGGAACACACCGAATGAGAGACACCAGACACCCAAGACTGAATACTGTGTGGAAGAGAAGGCACAAGACAGGGACAGAAAACAGGAGTGGCTGCGGGGCTGGATGCACAGGAAAGAAGACTGGCTGCAAAGGGGCTGGAGGAAGGTTTGGGTGACAGAGCTGTCCTGGGCCTTGACTTGCATGAGTACATATACACTTGTCAACATTCGCTGAGCTTAAAGAAGAAACCACTGGACCTGTAGTTGATGGTGGATTTCACTGCATGTCATTAACAGAGACAATGTATCTGAAGAAAAAAGGCCAGCTCTGGAACGCAGTCATCTTCCTCCCACCTTGGGTTACCTGGGGTCATGTTAGTGCCAGTCTCAGGCCTTCTCTTGGCCACACAGGCTCACCCAGGCCTCTTCTATCCAGTTTGAAGGGCTGGGGCTGGGGCTCTCTGTTCTCTCGTCCCAGTTCTCTGTCCCGGGAGCTTAGCTCCCCTCTATTTCTAGACGACATGATCCACAGCCCTGAGCTCCAGGTCCAGCCCCGTGCCCTGCGGCTGTGTGGCTCCAAGCCACTTCCCCTGCCGTCCCAGCGGGGATCTGGGGGAGTCAGCCCTGGTTTGGTCTCAGGCACACGCGGCCTGCTGGACAAACACTTGCTTCTATTGTTTTCACCTACTGACCCCTCCAGGCTGAGGACTCTTATATCACTTGACCCCAGGAGTCCCTTTAGCCGCCTGGGGCTTTGTGAGAGACGCTCCATGTCTTCACATAATCTTTGTTTTCCTAGACTCTTGGCCAAGGTGCTTTTTTGTGTGTTCCTAGGACACAGTGTCCTACAGCACAATGGAGTTATTTTCTAAGAGCCAGAGCATGTGATCTAACCACACTGATATGTGTGGCAAAGTAGGTCAGAACCTTTGAAATCAGGAGCATCTCTGACAACCCAGGCTGCACTTCCCCCTCTCCTTCAGGGCTCAGGGAGGGAGTGGGGTCTCATTTCATCACAGTGTACCCCTGCCCATCTCAGGGGAGCTCTGGCAACACTTGCCTGAGTCTCATTAAACACTAACTATCCAGGACACTTCAACCTCTGGGTTCAGGTTCACTGTTACACTGCTCCCGTGACTTTTCCATTAATCATCCCAAAACTTCCTTGCACTTTGTTTTACATTGCCTTTTGGTTACATCTTCTTCTGGTAGAAGCAGGATTTCCACACTAGTTAAGAGCTGCCCTGGAGAGCTGCTTACTCTGACCATCATGAATATAAATGGCCAGGGAAGTTCTGCCTCTTGGTTCATTGCCCAAGTTCTAGACCCATTTTAGAACTGGGTCTTACCAAGAAGGACTCTGCTGAGACATGTGGCCTTTGTCTTTGCTGGTGCTATTAACCCAGAAATGATGAGATTTTGGGCTGGGGATGTGGCTCAAGCGGTAGTGCGCTTGCTTGGCATGCGTGCGGCCCGGGTTCGATCCTCAGCACCACATAAAACAAAGATGTTGTGTCCGCCGAAAAATAAATAAAGAAAGAAAAAACAAAAAAACAAAAATAAAAATAAAAAGATGTTGTGTCCATCGAAAATTGAAAAATAAATATTTAAAAAAAAAAAAAAAAAGAAATGATGAGATTTTGAAGTGTGTGGAG